TATAAATAAAATTAATCCAGAATCGTAGAAATTGCTATGTTTAATTTCGCATAAATATTTAAGACATATGCCATGAACGCTCCAAAGTGGATCCGAGATAGTCGCACTCATCGAGACCTTACTGCATATCCAAAATTAATTCGTCAAGCTTCCTTTCTTTTCTGGATAAATTCTTTTTCATTTTCAATTCAACGCCGTATAAATTTCGTCAAGACGCAGCACCCTTTTGAAAAAGGCACCTTGGTCGTTCACTCGTCACCAGAAACCAGCAGTTTTTTCGCAAAATCCCCGGCTCGTTACCCGCGACCACGAAATTAACGTCACGTAATTAAATGGCGCCGCGTGCATACGAGCCTCGGTTAGTTGCAGACGGAGTGGCTGGGTATTCGTGTGTGCAACACAGCGTGGTGGCGTGCACGTCGAAAACGGCGTGCCACTTTACGTGTCGAAAGCGTAATTTTTGTCGACTCTCGGATATATTCCATTTCCGATGCCGCGGAAAACCTAATCATATAAATGGTAGGAACACATTTTTGCGAGTATTTTAACCCGCTCGCTGTGTCTTTTTGGTACCTTTACAAAGAATTTTCTTCTCTTATAAAATCAAGAATCGATAGTCATTTTAAGACTATTTAACTCTTTGCACTCCGATGTCGCAGCTGCGACGAAATTTATGTAGAAGCAACTTTGTATTTTTATACATTCAAAAATTAAAATACTCTTCACTTTTCCATGGGGGCCTCTATTGGTCATATTAAAAATTGCTCGGAGTGCAAAGGGTTAAAACATTAAATTTTTTTTTTTCATAAACAATGTGTTTGCTCGCGATAAATAATGAGCTTAGTAGTTATAGTAACACTGTTTCACTAATGTGTGGATGTCATTTAAAGGGTCTAGGCGGTTTATATCTTTCCATCATGAGCCAGACAGTGTATTTCGAATGTTTTGAGAAGACATCGGTGACAACTCCATTTCCCTCAAGAACCCACGGACTCTGACTCGTCTCCCCCTCCTCGGTATACACAGTTAATCGTAATAACGTGCACGCTTTAAATACAATCCCATTCGCCGTAGGCAACATTTTCCTGCAATTACGTTTCATTTAAAAACAATCGTGCGCCCCGGATATTCTCGATACGGAGAGTTCCGTGGACTAAGAGAATCGTGCGAAAGCGATATATAAAAGGCCCGTCTCCATTGTCTACGGGAAAGAGGGAACCCTCCTGATGAAAGTTTCTCCCCACTCCGACTGCGGGAAAATATTGAACTAAATTTTCCTCTCTGGAATCAACACCGGTAAATGGTGGAATTTCCGTCGAGTATTGGTCAAATAGATCTGTGTCTGGTGAATTGTATAACCTGAAAAGTTTGCCCGAATCGTTTTGCTCGTCAATGGGTTTCGTTGAGATCGTTATTTAAACAAGAAGAATTTTCTCGTCTTGTTCCTGCTTCGTAGTGTATTCCACTTGGTTCCACGACTAACTGCCCCGAAAACGAAGTCCAATCAGCCAGAGGTTGGACTTTTCTATGAGTCTCTCGTTGCAGAACGTAAAGACACGTTTATAGTTGTCCAGCACACCTGGGCCTTTTACGTAAGACGTTTAATTGACTAACGTTGCATAAGGTATAGAAGGTTGAGTGTCACGGTCGTCATCGTCGTAGAGTCACGCTGTCATATCCTTGTGTGGCCACCGTATACCTGCTGACACTTGGCCGAAACGCGATACAATGTGTTCCCACTGGTCCACTCGGGAACCAATCCCACCCTTCATCGTGAAATAATGTACCCTTGGGGACGTGTTTGTCGCGTCGTGCGATCGTTTAACCCATTTCGGAGGCTTGTATTAATTATTTTCTTTATAATCTTGGCCATTTAATCGCTGTTTCAGTCGTGTAATAATAATAATTTTATTTACACGTTTAAAATGGACCACAGACGACACGATTTTTCGTGCAATTGATCGTATAATCTAGATCGATTCGACCGTCCGAGCGAAATTGCTACCAGTGTTCTCAGATCTTTTATAAGATGCTCGTAAACAGAGTTGTCTAAAATCGTCTAAAGCGCAATAGTGAAAAAAATCTAATGATTTTTAAATTGAAGTACTTTTTTTTAGTATGACACGTTCAAAAAATAGACATAAATGATGAATCATATATATGTATAATAATGTAATTCTTGAGAGTGGAGTCGTAAAAAAAAAATCGTAAGGGAAAGTGTTAATAGTGGAAATGGCACATTCAACATTTGAATCACAGTAATAATTATTCGAGTCGCAGTAATAATTATCTGAATCACTGGTAATAATTATTCTTCCGGTCAACCGACCGAGAAAGGTGGTTAAAATCGATTCCCCGTCCAGCTGGTTGCTCACCACTGCCGAGGCCGGTGTGCACACGTGCTCTCACCCCTCTTACCTTCGGGCGCCTCTTGTTCACTGATTTCCGATCCTCGTGTGGAGGACGAAGAATGCTTCTGGGCTGCCAGCTGCTCGCGATCCTTCTTCGCCGATCGTTCTGTACCGTGACCGTCAGAACGTCGCGATCCTTCGTACGGTTCATCTCGACACCGTGCTCGATCCACCATAAAGTATTCACAGTCTCGGAAATTAAATAACGATCTTCGAAATATCGTAATTTTTCTGAGAAATTCCACCACGGTGTATTTGATTATGAGGTGACAATCTCTCTGTGGTCAGTTGACGAACACACAGAAGGACTCTTGAAATACGTGTACCAAAAAGAAGAATCAACATGGTCGTCTGGGTTCCCGGTTTTCTCACGGGGTAGGTAGTTAGCGGTGGTGGTGGTGGTGTGTGCGCGATTGCTATTCACTCGGGGGTGACTTTCCTGTGGATGATTCATCGCGTATGATTCATAGGCCGCGAAAACGTTTTCTCGAATAGTAATTGCTGGCAGCTGGTGGTGATGTTTGGAGAATATGGCGGCAAGAACAGGGGCGGCAGGGTTGGTTTGTCACGAACAGAATTTTCGACTCGAGATAATTTCGTACGTTTTGACATTGAAGTTGAAAACTGCCCACGTAATGGTTCTGTGAAATTGTGAGAAGAACACATGTTAAGCTGTGTCTACACTACGCAGGAAGACTGTGTTACGTAACAAATTGTTGCATAACAAGATTATACCTTTTGGACAAGTCTATAACAAGTTTCTATAACATTTCGTATTATTATTAATAATGGTGTCACACATAATGGATAACGTATAACTTACTATATGACACAAAAAATGTTATTGTAACATTATGTTATGTAACATTTTCCTTCCTGTTTTTTCTAACAAGTATTATAACATTTCTGTATAATGTGTTATGTTACGTAGTGTAGACGCAGCTTTAGTTTGCGGTATCTCCCGTTGGCAGTGCTCGTGGGCGATATTTAAATGACTCTCGATAGATGAGCTGTGTCTAAAAAAGGACAGGCTGTTTTTTGACATCTTGAACCTTCGAATGGTTCTTCGGGAACGAAATAAATCAACGAGAAAAATCGTTTCGAAAGAATCCTCTTCGGTTATGAATGAACAATGACACGAGGAATTATTCTCTCCGTGCTCGTTCAACGAAACGTTTCGAATGAAATTAACTGGCCGGAGGTCAGGAAATGCATTTCGGTGGAAATCGTAGGCCTATCTCGTGCGATAAGTGAAATCTCCGGAAATCACGTTTGGCAATCACGTGCAGAACGGATATTGAATAAACAGCATCAACGGGGCGCGGTGGCGGTCTGAAATAGTATAACGAAAAAAGAAAAACAAAACACGATGCGTCCGGCTAGATAATCTCGCGATTGCACGGTGCAACAACTTGTTTCGTAATCAAACCGTTCGCGTAAAAGGGAGACGGTTTTTCGCGCTTATCATCTCGTTCATGCGCAGAGTATACTACTCGTAACATTTCCGTCGTGCCACTGGCAATTGAGGGACTCAGTGGAAAAGGGGCAGATGCGATATCAACGTCGATTTTCATTTTTGCTGTTACCATCAACAAGCTCTAATTGTCTAGTATCCATTTCATGAATTCAAGCACCGTGACTTCTCGTAAACAGAAGTACATTAACATAATATACAACAATAATTGCCATTTACCATCTACTTCAATTACCAATTAAAATAACTACTGAATTTCCTGAGAAAATAATTTTTCCTAAAAATAGTTATCGTGTAAATTTATAGTATTGTGGCATACGTGCCCCTTTTCCACCAAATTCCTTAAGCCCAGAATACATTCTCAAGCGTTTCGTGATAGGACAAGGGAGAGACGCGTGGCATCGTTGGTTCGGTTTTTCCGCGGCACGAAAGCAGAACACTTTCATCGCCAAATCCGGCGAGAACGGGGTTCCCTCGAAAAAGAAGTTAATCGACACCGTGAAATCCATGGGGAAAGGTGGTTAGACGTATCCAATAGACGTGTTTTTGTCGAACGTGTTTCCGCGCACGAGCGCGATATCATTATCGTGAAAGTTCTTGCTGGATCTATTGAAATGACACGGGGTGGTGTGTCCAGCGTAGGTGTTGCTGCATCCACGCGCACCTGTTCAATATACAGGGTGTACCACGTAAATGTGCGGCAAAATTTTTTTAAATTTTCCTGCAACTTCACGAAAAATTGTATTACACAAACATTGAACTCCATTTAAACTGCATTTTTTTTGAAGAAATGGGTGTTACTTTTTGTTTCTTAAATGAAACTACACCATTTTTTTAAACATTTTTCATGGGGACTAATCGTGACAAATCCAACGACCACGTTGTAAAAAAATATATAAACAACATAAGAAGAAAAAAATCAACAGAAGGTGTACAACGTTGTGGTATACTAAAGGGTTCGCTTTAGAAACAATTGAGGGCTCAAAGGATCAAATATTTACCATATCGTTGCAATATAAGATTATTGTCCCGGTGCGGGACAATAATCGAGAGGAATCTGTATTGATAATCGCTAAGATATATTTCACACGTTTTTTTTTTTTTGTTTATTACAGTTTCCCGTCAAAGATGGAGAGGCCATCCCAGCATACATCAAACGTGAATCAGGTCCACGGTGCCGGGATGCACGGTGTGTACTCGTCCGGCAGTCAAACATCCCTCACGACGTCCTACATCACCGGTCAGTCGTACGTGCAGAACCAGAATTACGGCCATGGCCCGTATAATTCGTCCTCGAACGTACGGGTTTACTCGCACGCGGGGTACAACCAGCCTCAAAGCTACGGCACCATGGTTCAGGGTTACGGTGGTCAGCCTCAGACGGGATATCAACAGAATCATCTTAAAAAGGGACCCGTGCGTAACGGGGACGTGCTGAAGAGATGCCGACTTCAGACCGCGTAAGATTTTCAAATTCACGATTTAATTTGCTTCCACCAGAGACAGATTAATCCTGTCGATTCTCTTATGGGATAGGGAAGTGTCTCGATCGTTGTCAGTGTTCTTAATATTGCTAGTTTATTTATTTTAAAATGGCTCCAATACTGCCACTTTATTTATTTTAATGAATATGTAACGTACAGTGCGCGCTTACGATATTCCCACGAGCGGGACTGTTGGAGAGTAAAACGGCAATGCATCGAGAGCCCTCTCCGTGCTAAGTGTAGCCATTTCCCCAGCACATGCGCAAATATCGTGTTAGTAGAGATGGCTATACGCAACGTGGTGGAAGAGTAAATTTGTGGGCGTGAAAATACGTGTGGAGGGGAAGTGCCTCGCGTGGCAATGGGCCAAGTGGCGATATCGTAAGAGTCCACTGTATAAAGAATTGTGTATAGAAAATTGTATTATCAAATTGAATTTTATAATCAATCATGGTCCAAACTGAGAGATTCTTAGATTAAACAGCACGTAAAATCAGTAAATGAAGTTGTAGTACAATATTAAACTGACAGTAATTGGGACATTCACGCTTTTTTTCCCTACTTCAATTCGTTGTCCAGTTATTTCATATATAATTGCGGTATCGGGAACTCCATACCCAACAAAGGAGCAAATAACATCTTTGGAAAATAGGATGGTTCCGTGGAGCAGTGGGTAGAGTCTCTGCTTTCGGCGCCGGGGGTCGTGAGTTCGAATCCCGCTTGGGCCCTCTCATTTTTCTAACGCTCCTAAATAACGATTCCCCTAAAAACAAGGCAATACGATTAGTGGCATAGTACTCCTAAGGGTAGGTTAAATAGAATAAAAGAAAAGGATGTTAAAGGAGAGTTGGGTATCTGTGTTGGTGTGGAAGGATGAATGAAAAACTGTAAAACGAAGTTCCATTTCAAGGCCCGGTGAGGCTGAAAATAAATAATATATATATTCTAATGATTCGTCTATTTGAAAACACAGGTACGAGCTGTCCCAAGATCTACTGGACAAACAGATCGAGATGCTTGAACGGAAATACGGGGGCGTGAAGGCGCGGAACGCCGCGTTGACGATACAACGAGCGTTCCGTAGGTACACGTTGCTGAAGAAATTCGCGGCGATCACCGCGATGGCCAAGGCGGAGAAGAGACTGAGCCGAAAGCTTCAGGAGACGAACGATCGTGCCTCGAGCATGAACGAGCACGAGAGGATGGTCTATCACAGTCAGATTTACATTCAACAGCCGCAAACGGCGAACAGGCCGATGCCAATCCGAAGCATGTCCTTGAGAGAGAGGAGGCACGTGGAGAACACCACGTCCCAGTCGCCCATACCGAGGAGCCAGAGCGGCAGGTGCGAGGTCCAGATCGCCGGGCATCAACACGCGAACCATAATGTTCATCAGACGGGCAGGCACACACCATCTCTGGCGCCTAGTCCTTGCAACAGACATCAACAGTTACCTCCGAGCCCCTGTTGGGAGTCCAGCTCGCAAGAGAGCGGATCCAGCATTCACTATTACAATCCCCAGGTGATTGGAGAATTTCTATGTATCGAACAACAGGATGTCTATGGGTCAGACTTGGGCAATTATCTAAATAAAAAGTTTCGAATAACGTGGAAAAGATAAAAGCAAGTACTTCGTGATTTTTAATCGTTTAAACGTGGAAATTTTTGTAAGAAAATAATACTTCTCGAATGAGGCGACATTTGGGAAATAATTATTTAATTCGATTAACTGTTCAATGCTCAGGATAATGCCCCTAGACACTGTTGCTTTTCTGAAAATTTTCTCTGAAAATTCTGCCCGACTCTGCTGTGCGTTCAGTAATACCTAGGAAGAGATATAGAGACCTGTCCATAAATCACCGGATACTCGATTGTTTCGTGAGAAATAGAAATCGAAACGGGAAATGCAATGTCTCGAAGCAATTTCACCAACTTATTCGATTTTCCTCGAATACCTTTCAGAATGATTTAACGAAAATTACAAAATACTAATCAGCTAGGAATTTCGCGAGACTATAGTCGAGACAATTTAATACAATAGAATAATTCTGACACTGACTTCTAAACAGACTTAAACGCACGCGTAAAAATTAACGCAGGACTATAGTCGAAGTAATTATAGACCGATTTGAGTGGAATCGGGGGAGAATTGTTTTCAAAAATTCAAAGTGCCACGATTCATTTGGCTAAATATTATTTAACGAATGAACACAATTAATTAAACGGGTACATAATGGTGCCTATCCATTTCACGTTTAGCAGCGTATGTGTCCGGTGACTAATGAAGCAGGAGTATAGATGCAGTGTTGATTATTCAACGTTTAAAAAGTGTAATTCGTTTGTAGGAAGCACTCTGTGGTCTCAGGCAGGAGACACCACCGCGAGACCTGCTTCGAACGCCCTGCACATCCCCATCGACGCCTCACAATCTTCAAACGCCGGTGTCTCAGAATTGGAGCAATACCTCCCATCTGGGCTCCACTGGTAGATCGAGGGGCTCAGCGAAAAAGGTTCCACCGGAGGTGCCTAAGAGAACATCTTCTATTACCTCCAGATCTATGGAGCCTCGTCACAATGGTCTCAGCAAAAGCGTGGAGAACGGTAGTCTGAGCTCTGTGCAGAGCTCTGGCAGCGATTCCACCAACTGCGAGAGCTCCGAGGGCGATGCCCAAAGAGGATCACCTGTCTGGAAGCATAAAGGAATCGTAAGTGTGGCCTCTTCGTTCCCTTCGAATTATCCTTTGATATTTATGGCTGATTATAAAGATTTTGATAGCAGTGAAAACGTTAGAATACATTGGACCGAACGAAATGATCCATTTTTTCAGTCAAGTTCACCAGAGCATCAGGATTGCGCGAACCATGTCACAGACTCGACCACAATAATGAACAGCGTGAAGGATCTCGGTCACTCTCATGCCAGTTCTGGTTACCAGCTTCCAATGATGGACCATCAAGAAAACATGTCTCAGACCAGCTACAAAGTTTCGGAAACGGTCAGGAAACGCCAGTACAGAGTAGGCCTAAATCTGTTCAACAAGAAACCGGAACGAGGAATCAGTTACTTGATTCGAAGAGGATTCTTGGAGAACAGTCCCCAAGGCGTTGCCAGATTCTTGATCAGTAGAAAAGGGCTGTCTAAGCAGATGATTGGAGAGTACCTAGGAAACCTACAGAATACCTTCAACATGGCTGTGTTAGAGTGAGTATATATCTAGATAGTAAAGGAGGAACCCATTTCCCGATCAGAAGTCTTCATTCACTAATGCAATTTTACAGATGTTTCTCACAAGAGCTGGATCTTTCCGGGATGCAGGTCGACGTCGCCCTGAGGAAATTCCAGGCGTACTTTCGTATGCCAGGCGAGGCCCAGAAGATAGAACGACTGATGGAAGTGTTCAGTCAACGTTATTGCCAATGCAATCCCGACGTGGTAACCAGACTGCGATCGGCAGACACCGTCTTCGTCTTAGCCTTCGCGATCATTATGTTAAACACCGACTTACACACGCCTAACTTGAAGCCGGAACGTAGAATGAGGCTGGACGATTTCGTGAAGAATCTTCGTGGTATCGACGATTGCGGGGACATCGACAAAGACATTCTAGTAGGCATTTACGAACGCGTAAAGGAGAACGAATTCAAGCCCGGCTCGGACCACGTGTCCCAAGTGATGAAAGTCCAAGCGACGATCGTTGGAAAGAAACCTAACATGGCGTTACCGCACAGAAGATTGGTCTGCTATTGTAGGCTCTATGAGATCCCCGATATTCATAAAAAAGAGAGACCTGGTGTGCATCAGAGGGAGGTGTTCCTTTTTAACGACCTTCTGGTCGTAACGAAAATCTTGAGCAAGAAAAAGAATAGCGTCACTTACACGTTCAGACAGAGCTTCCCTCTTTGCGGAATGGTCGTCACGCTGTTCGAAGTTCCTCGTGAGTTGAACGACGCTTACGTCATTTGTTAGAAAAATACCCTGGAATACGCTTGTTAGTAGTGTATTATTTTCACGCATTGATTTTAATAAATTTTTTGTCCGTCGCCAGATTATCCGTACGGAATTAGACTCTCTCAACGCGTGGATGGTAAGGTGTTGGTCACGTTCAATGCCAGGAACGAACATGACAGATGCAAGTTCGTGGAGGATCTCAGGGAATCTATCAGCGAGATGGACGAGATGGAAACCTTACGGATTGAGACGGAACTGGAACGACAGAAAAGCAGCAGAAGCGCCAGAGGTGGCGCAGAGAACAGAGACTCTGGCGTGGCGGATGTCGAGATATGTCCTTGCCCGGGACCTTGCTCCGACAGATCGGAAACCACCGACATGGACACGCAGTTGAAACGCTCTGCGCTTAGCAATTCCCTTCTTGACATACACGAACAATGTGGGTAAATTCTTCTACTTGTTAATATATTCTTAATCCGGCATTGAATTGCAAGCATTTACAATTTCATATTTCTTTAACCATTTTAATTTTTTAACCTCATGTGCCGTTTCTCTTGGTCTGTTCACAGTCGCTGGTGAAAAACCGCAACGCCGTGGAAGCGTGGGCTCGCTAGATAGTGGTATGTCCATTTCATTTCAATCTACATCTGCCAGCTCAATGAGCCAAGGCATTAAACATCCTGGACAAGTTCATCCTATACATCCAGGGGCTACTGTCCCCGGTGGTGCTAAGGGACTGGCTCAGCAGCCATCTTTTTTAGGGGGTCTATTCGCCAAACGGGAACGAAAGTTATCGCAATCGGAGGAATCTGGACCCTACAGTCGCACTACGGAAGTGTAATATATCCTTCCGATGGTACCTAGGGGATCTCTGTACGTTCAGTTCCCTTCTAGTACGTTCCACGATTTTCTCAGATTTTGTGCACAGTGGACACTGTACGTGATAATGTACTAAACGTGTAAAGAGTGTACTAGTCAGAAGAACAAAAAGCAACACTTTCTGTGCGCCCTCTGTATTGTTTTAATATGGCAAAGAAATATTCTGTACACACAAAATTGATTTTTATGGTATCCTAATTCAATATCGATTAGTTCTCAAAGTTGGTACGCATTAAAGAAAAATGTGTACATGTATGCATACATTATTAGAATACGCGATATATTACAAAAATTTCTTTATGTATCATCAGTGTAATAGTACTGATACAATTCCGATGAATACATAACAAGCAATTGACAGCAATACGGCTGTTCTTAGGTGGGAATTTGTTAACGAAAAAGATATAAATATTCTAGAATCCATTGGAAAGTTCATAACAGTAGTACATAAATATATAGTAAATTCACAACTCGAAGCACAATTCCTTGTTAAATTATCGATAGTACACCCTATATATGTTTAGTATATTATTACACGCGATGAACACGAACGTAGTGTGCAGAACTTGGGACAGATGACTTGAATCTCGTGCAGTCAATTCCTGAAATGGAATTCTATTGCTTTCCTTCAAATTCGGATGGATCGTACGCAGACCACGGTTAACGTTACGCTAGGAGGGCCCGATGTTACGTCTGGGAACTAGAAGGACGAAGATAAGTTACCTATTGGATGAAAGCAGTGGAAGAATACAAAAGAGATTACAAATGCCTAAAGACAACTGGTCAATCGATGTAAATTTATCGGATTGGGCAGGATCCAATCGTGGTGACTTAAGAGAGAGAAAAAGAGAGGGGGTGGGAGGGGAACGAGAGAAAACGAGTGAATGTAAGAATGCGAGAACGAGAGCGAGCGAGAGAGAGAGATTTGTCAAGGTAAACAGTAGGATAACTCCTACTGACAAGTGTATAGTATTTATTGATCCAAAAAGGTCGAGATCGATCCGTTCTTTCTAATGATATTTATAATTTCCAATGTAGATAATTTCGTTCAGCGTATGAACTCCATGAACCACAGTTTTTTTTTAAATATTACCATAATCCCATAAGGAAGAATGGTAGAAAATGAAAAGCATTTCATGGAGAGTGATCGAGTAATGTCGTGTTTTGCAAGTATTGTCGACGTAACTATACTTAAAGTGATTGTACATAATAGACATATATACATACACACACATCTATATATATATATATATATATATATATATATATATACATATACATATACATATACACATAACGATAATTGTAATAATTCTAATGATGATATTGTAACAAAATTGTAGCCTAAGGAAACAATAAGCAATCCCTCTCAGTGTTAGGTGCATGTCGATGTCTAACAAGTTTTTAATATCTCAGCAGTGGAAGTTTGGATGTAGCAGTGATGGTAAGCATTAACATTTAAAAATGAAAAGATGAAAAGAGGCGTTTCTCATTGTTATATTCATCTATAATCTTTTTGCAAGTAGTTCTGCTTGTGTATTTGAACTCGAACAGTCTTCTCCATAGGAACGTATTGGTAAAAGAAAAAGAAGAAAAAAAAAAATGAAAACTTGTCACTCGCATAAATTGGTTTCTCGTCTTGTAGTTACGTAGACAACTTTCAGTATCGTGTTTAGCAACATTGTAAGGATCAGCGCCGCCAAGCCTTGAGCGCTTTCAAAAGGAAGAGGACAACCCGTATGCCTTATATACTGCCACAATTAAATCGAAGACGAGAAACTGACTAGCGAGTCTGCGAATGATATTAGTGGAGAATCTTTTAGAGTCGAAGAATTACATGGAGAACTGAATATTGTATATATATATATCTATACACCAGCGATTGCAATATCAAATGACGAATTCAAAGGAATATACCTTGATTTTAAATTCGAAACGAGGTAATTCAGTGCAGTCCGTTACACTGCAAACGAAAATTTTGTTTCGGACTTTGGGAGTTACTTTTTTGCGGCGTATCACCCAACATTTTGAACGCTCTCGGGAAACACTCTTGCCTTAGTTTCCTAATCGGAGTCCATTGTCCTACACGTAAACCTTCAGCTGTCGTCGCGAAACACTAGCTTCGAAACATAAAAGCTTATTTTCCCGCACAAAATTTTTTAGAGAGAGAAACTGTCATTTGTATTTCTCATGTAAAGCAATAGCTTTACCAGCGCAGTTAAGTATTTAGATCTATCAATCATTACATTCGATACAGAACGCTGTAGCTGCTATAGTTTAGATAAAAATCTTCAAGATAATTGAGTGTTGTCCAATATGGGGAAAGGATAATGTAATATTCTGATGCACGCAGTACTGTTTAACCTATCATTTGCAGCTGAAGGACAAATTGAGTAAACAAGAGAACTCGTGTAGTTGAAAAAATGTTCATTATTAAAAGTGTAAATGTACATAGGCATCCTCCCATTGATCCGTAAACGGTCCGTAGTCTTCAGCGTTAATAATTCTAGTCTTTCTCATCAGGAGAAGAGAGAAACGATTCAACAGAACTTAAAACGTGTTGAGAGATGAATATTGATGTAGCTTGTAAGGGTGTGGATACAATAAGGATGTAAAATCGATCGATGAATTAACGAATTAAAGAATATTTGTCTCGGCGATTGACCTTATAGGATCGCGTCAATTTGCATAAATTGTTCGTTCGGAAATACTGGAAAGGAAATCACTCAAGGAGACTTCCCACTTGAAGAGAAGGAATCACAGTAATTAAAAACGTGATTGGTTTTTTTTTTAACTTTTTCTTTTTATTGATGTTTACAGATATGAATCTACTATGATGTTTAAAAGATATAATTTCGGAATTCAGGGAATACATTTTGGACACGCTGAATGTTACTAAAAACAAAGAAATTCGAGTTTTTTTCAACTCTCCTAAAGTGGGAAAATCCCCGACACTTTAACGGAAATTCTGTGATAATCATATTACGAACGAAAAAGAAAAGACTGATTAGAAAGACCGCCTCTAAGTCGCCGTGTTTTACAGGGAAGTTCCCATGAAAAGTGAAAACGTTTCTCGTGGTCTCGCCCTTACTCTTTCTTTTTTTTTGGCACACATCACAATGACTGGAAAAAACAGCTTCTGTCGGCTTTCAATTGTCGGGACGAGGGAACACGAGGAACAAGAACAACAATAATTTACACGTCGGTGTTTTCCAAACTTGTTACTGTATCCACTATTTCGTTTTCCATGATTAACTTTTAACTAGTTAGCTTATCTACTTCGAACTTGTCTGTAGAATCTTATGTGCACAAAAGAGAATAAAATGTATAGTTAGCTTTGAGCAAAATTATTTTTGTAATGTTTCTTGATTAACAGTTTGGAACTCACGGGAACAAGTGAAATCGATCGTACAACATCGAAGCAATACAACGTTCTGAAATACGTAATATCACAACACCGAATTATCGCGAATCTACGGTGACTAGATTCGATTCAATTTGACGCGATCTTCGGGGAAAACAAATGTAACGACACGCGCCTCCCACGCGTGTCATTAAACTCGGCGGATTCTATCATTTGATGAGAAAGTAAGATTAACTATGTTATTACTAAAAGATAAAAATTGCTCCCCCTTCGAAAGTATCGCTTCCTTTGTTAATCTAACGAACGCTGTATGCACATTGTGTTAATAAAGAACTATGAGTCTGAAACGTGAAAACTGTAACAATTACAAGAAATTTTCAGGCGCAGAAAAAACAAGGATTTTATTAAAATTTAGTAAGTCTACTACCTTTTACTGAACATATTTAGAACATAAGTAGCAATTTTATATTGGTTTGGTGGATCAAGAACTTAATTACATTTTCAAATGCTCTTAGGTTATTCAAATTCTATTACGTGCTTCTCATTTTTGTTATTAAGGCAGTCATTGGTCGTGACAAACCAGTTACCCTCTCCCTTTTACTAAATAATAATTTATTTAGCAGTAGTTTTGGGTACACTCGCATGTCTCTTCTGAAGATATAACAAATAATTATCGTACAGTGACAAGATGTAGAAAAGAATACGATTTTATAGATTCTAAGGCAATTAGACTTGAACCTCGATTTTTAACTCCACTAATTGTAAGTTAAAAGGTCTCTACACATTTAGAAGGAGATAATTAAGATGCTCATTATAAAATGACAAGAATAGTTAAACAATAAGAAAAGCTAGTGTTTCCTTCGCTTGTCACGATCATCTCTTCGTTGCTCGCGTTCTTCCTTCCGCTTCGTGGCAGTAGTTGTAGAACTGCTGGCGCGTTTGGCCTGTTTTAAGAACTGATCCAAACCAAATGGATCTTCTTCATCTTTCTCAAATTGCACTGGTCCAGACCGAGTTGCTGATCTGTCAGTTCCACTGAATTCTTTGTCCGGGACAAATCTAAGACAAAATTTTTTATTTTTTTCAGAAACATCTCACTCCTGTTACTGCTTGCTCTACACTTAAGCTTGTCCAATTATGGCCTATGCAACCTGAAGTACTGAAAAACCGAATCTAACAAACCTGTTTGTTTTAACGAGTTTTTCCAAATCATCTCCATAAGTATCCTTGTCAATGCTCTTACTAGGACGGTATATGTGCGAACCAATGGAATTTGAATCTTTCCACGGTTTATCGTAAACATTGTATTCATCGTCATGCCCATAACCACTGTCCATTCCTTTGGTTGTATTGAATAATCGCTGATCGAATTGTGCCTCTCCGGTATTCGGAATGCTCTTTGCTGGCAAACCAAGTGCTATTTGTTCGCTAATGTCACGTTCACGTTCACGTTGCAATCTAGAACGCTTATCGGGAGCAGCACGCGCCAAATTTCGTTCACGAGCACGGTCCTTGTGTCGTTCCTGCCTGAGCTGGTCTCTTTCCCAATTCCATTCTATAAAGATTCCATTTAATATAATTTAAATAATCAATTTTATGCGGTACTGTTTGATAAATACATAAATTTTCTGTACAGACCTATCGCAGCAGAGGATTTCAAACCAGCACGTTCCTCTCTGGCTTTTTGCGCAAGTTGCCTCAAATGATCCTCCTTCTTTTCCTTCTCTTTCTGAGCCAGCTTCTTCTCCAGCTGTGCTCGCATCTCTACAGCCTCACGGGCTTTTCTGTCAGCAATGTAAAGAGCTTCAGCTAGCTTGGCGAAATTTTCATTTATGTGAACTTGCTGTAAACCGCGACCGTCCGCAGCTAAACGTTTATCCAAGGGAATTGTGTAACCCTGAAATCAAAGTACTACTTAGCGAAATACTGTACGGAATTGTTGCTGAAACAAATTCGTTGATCTCACTTTAGCGTTCTTCCAATTACTGATACAAGGTGGTATTTTCCATTCTTTTTGTTCTTTCACTGTGACTTTCCTTGTAGGTGAGTGCATAACTGGTGCCGGAGGTGACGGAGGACCTCGTGGTATTTTCTTATTAATCCTATAATTAAACGATACTGAATTACTCAATGTCTCACTCATCGGCGAGTTAAGACTTCAAAGTAACTCACTTGAATTTTGGTGGTTCTAACGGATCTATCTGAGCTTCTACCATTCTGATAACTCTCTGCTTGGCACCAGAGTTAAAGGATTGTCCTTGTTGCGATGGTGTGTATCGAATATACTGAGCTGGTGCTTGTTTCTCGGCGCATCTAACTGGCATCGCTGCGGCTATCTTTGATCTAGTTATCTTTTCCAAAGCTTTCCTGGTTTTTTCTGTGAGTTCATCTATTTCTTCTGTCGGAGGACGCTGTAAACTAGGATCCTCTTCGCTGGTTATTTCTGACGGTAGTAAATCGCTCAATTTGCTGTAGACAATCTGTAAACATCATAAAGTATTCAATAGTAATGTATGAACTTGATCGATGCAGTAAAATTTACTAGATTACCTTATCTTTGGAATGACCTTGCCTAGCAATCATGTCATACTTTACTTTCCCATGGGCATCTAGCTGAACTGCCAGAGCATTGCTTGTAGTTTCTTTTCCTTTCACTCCCATTCCAAGTGGATACTGAGCTACATGGATTTCAGGGAATGCCCCACCGTCTCCAAAATCCTATATATACATTGCACGAATCTTTAATAACATCACATAAGACAACCATATTAACAGGTGTAAGTGAAACTTACTTCTGGATTCCTAGGTACCCATCCCTTACGTTGCCCATAGGGAGGAGCAGTAACAACTGCTTTGACCAATGCAGACACAGGCCTCTGCCGTAGCTTCTGTTCCCGTGCTTCATCTTCTCGATCCCACACCACCTGCGATGGTGCAGGTAATAAACTGCAAAACCAATAGAGATTACGAAACAATGTTAAGATTTAACATTCTAGTGCAAAAATAATGATAAGTAATATACTCTAGAATTATCAGACACTGTAAAGATAGTATCTGCCATGACACAACATGTTAAAAAGTATTTGAAACTGATGCACAATACATTATTATTTTAGTTCAACACTTGCATATAACGCTATCAAAGTAAACTGACTAATATGGCCTGTAAACTGTCATTAATTAATGCTTTGTAATGAACAACGCAGATGTTCTGGAATGTTTTATTTTATGCATGGTGAGTAAAGAAATTTGGAGTATTTATCACAAACACTAACCTTGCCAGCGACATTTTCTTACATACAAAACGGATTAAGTCGTCCACTTCCCGTCCTCCAGCTCAAACGTTTACGTATTCATCACACACGAATATAGCAATCAAGAAAGTGCATTCCAATTCGTTACTAATAAATTTCCTAGACATGACGTTCTAAAATGTTCCTAAAGAGAAATATCCCTAAAGAGAAATACCCGCACCTCTTGCATAATGATGTTATCCTAGTAATGATGTTCGTTTTCGAGGTTTCGAAAAGATTTCTCAGCTGTAATCGAACTCATTGCCAACAATATCTACCTACCTATGTTTTGTATTAATTCAGCTCGTAGCTTGTCTCGCTTGCCTCTCGGATGAAGTCAAGAATACCTTATATTTTAATTAAACTATTCCTAGTAGATTAATTGAACAAACGTATTCAATTGGCGTTACTAGATCGAGGGAATTGAGACAAAAAATCGGATGGTAGTGGAAGAAAGTAATATAACCATGTGTGCTGCTTCCAATGAAAGAACGAACCTAGATTAATACTTTCTATTAGTTGAGAAACAGAAATCAGAAGATGGTAAGTTAAAATTCCTGGTGATGGGAAAATACGAATATATCAGTAATTAGGTGCTGAAAATGAACGTCGTTGGTCTCCAATTAATCATAAATTAATCTCAAAACTTCATAATTAAAAGAATTATTTCTGTCAACAGCAACACTACTGACAGAAATAATTCTTATCATTATGGAGTTTTTAGAATTAGTTCCAATTTCCGCCACCAACTCGTGGGGGCGCTACAAAAGGTTTCTTAAATCTCCTCCTTTTTCCCGCGTTTTCTTAAAAGTTTAAGGATTAATTATATTGCTATTATTTATTATTTCTTATTATTTTTTTGGTAAATTGATATCAGGAATAGGAGTGGTGATAGTGCCGGGATTAATAAATAACCCATATGCATGACTTGACTGTTTTTTATTCAAGAAATCGTAAAACAATATACAATTTGCAATGGGACTTGTGTAGATTTAACAATAGCCTTAAATACTACTTATATATGTATACACATTCCTGCACACTGATTCGCCGCTTGTCTAGTGTAACCGTTTCTCTCTTAGCACAGATTGTGCTAATCCAGTACTTCTTTTTACCTGTTCCCCATACTCCCCTTTTAGCTACCTGCGCCTACTAAGAACGCTGTAACATAGAACATGCTGTTATGAAATGAATGCAAAGTTTGCAGCCATCGATATTATGTTCGGTTTAGTCAGTCTATTAATTATTTAATCGTAATTACGATGTGAAGAATATGTAATGATGATTTGAAAAGTGAATATGTCATTAATTATGAGGTCATAGAACGACTGGAGCATGCTAAGGGACACCGTGTATGCTAAGTGGGGTCATAGAACCCCAGGAAGACACGCAAGAGACCCCTTATGGTGAGATCGTGGGGTCACAGAATCCCCACAGGTGGCGCCAGAGACCCCGTGTCGTGGACCGTGGGGTCATAGAACCCCCGGAGGAGGCGCCAGAGACCTTGTGTGTGTGTGGAAGTGGGGTCATAGAACTATTAGAACTGTTGCTCGTACGGAAGCACGCACAAGTGTCAGTCATATTTCGACAGTTGCACCAGCAACATTCGACCGAGCTAGAGAGTTGTACGAGCAACAGCGATAAAGGATCACGTTTCAAACGTGTACTGACGCAAGCCATTTCATTACCGTTCATTGTCCCGTAATCCACGTGTAGTAACAACTGATTGAATCCGGCAGAGGACTACTGCAAATTATTACAAACGTCTATCGTATACCACCGGTAATCAAAATTGCGGCGACAAATTTATGAAACCTTTATGAAGTTTTGAAGACTGTACGGAAAACTTGCAAGTGACAGAGGAGGGAATTATTTGCGGCATATAAGTTACAATATTTTATAAACCTGAATAATATCTAAGCCTACTTTTTCCGAATTTATATAAATATCATTACAAGTATGTTGTAGAATCATATAGATAAGTAGGATTTAAGTAAAATAAGTATCTAAGGGCACTTTTATTGAATCTATAGAAATATTATTATAAATATATTGTAAAATCATATATGTAAGTAGTACTTAAGGCAATTGTTGTTAAATTTATAGAAATACTATTGTAAATTGTATATTTTCGTACGATTTTTTCAATAAAAAACAGTTAAATCATACATATGCATTATTCATT